TTCCTCCCACTTTTCCACTCACTGCCATCTAAACGTGATCCTGAACTTTTCCCTCTTCCTCAGCTAAAAAGTGAATTCATGGTTACACTTTCCTGTATTCCTCTATCACCCTCACTCCAGCTGCTTGAGTTGAGCCCTGTGTCTGTTCCCATATGGACCACGGCATTACCATTTACCTCCTCATCTCTGACTTCTCTTTCAAACACCCCTTCCTCACCTACCTCTATGCACGGTGCTGTCATAATACTCTTAATAAAACCCCAAACAAATCACATCTCCCATGCTTAAAACAAACCTATGACTTCTCACTGTCTAAAAAGCAAAATCCAAGCCTTCATGGAATAGAAAACCCTCTACTATCTGGCCCCTGTCCTGTTGTAGAAATCCTCATCCCCTGTTAGCCACCCATACTCTTTTGTACCCTAAGCTCCAATCTTTATCAATGATACCTGAGTTCCAGAACTATGCTGTCAATCACAAATGTCCTGTGCTTACACTGCTCCAGCTTTTGGAATTCCCATGCTCCCCTCCTGACTCAGTTTACTTTTTTCCCACTTTTAAAAATTTTAATTCCAATATAGTTAACATACAGTGTTACATTAGTTTCAGGTGTACAATATGTGATTCACCGACTCAGTTTACTCTTATCCATCTGTCAAGATCTAGCTCAAAAAACACTTCCTCTGTTAAGTCTTCCCAAACCACACCAAAAGAGTTGGTCAGTGCTCTTATGATACCCCTTCATCTATGTATTTATCTCTACTAGCCAGCATATCAGACTTTAATGTGATTAACTGAGAACACTTCTGTCTCCCTTCTTTCTGTTTTTGTTTTGTTTTTTTGTCTCCCTTTCTAAACTGTGAGCTCCTTAAAGTCACTGGTTGCTTTTTAATCCATCATGATATACCCTGTGCCTATCATTCCAACAGGTGTTCAATAAATAAAATCAAAAAGTAGAATACAGAATGAAATTACAATCTCATACAAATAATATAAGCCTGAATGTTAAAACATGTCCCTACCTGGTAACTAACTGTTTTCTTTCCATCACTTCCAGTCTGAGGTAAGGTCAACGGTCCAGATACTATCCAAACATCTTCAAACCTCTCCGTCAGTTCTCGACAGTACATTTCCATTCTGAAAAACAAAGCAAAAAAAAGGTGTGATATTCACACAGACATATAGAAAAGAAGGATTTCAAATCCCTAGGAAAGACAGCAGGAATGCTGAATTTGACAAATGAATGTGAACAAGCAAATACTACAAAAAACACTAAGCATATAAGCAACTATCTTCCCAGTTCTTCATTACACAAGAAAACTTAAAAATTACATGCACTTATACAAGTATCTACATTTTCCTGTGTGTGCATTCAGTGTACATTTTAGAACTGATTTGTTTTGTCTTCTCCCTTATCTTTCTATGTTGTAGCTCTCAATCTTTTCTGAAGAGTTATATATCATTTCAACAAGCTGATACACCTTATTTATTTAACCATTCTATTGTGGGGCAATTGGGTTTATCCTAACATTTCTTACATAATGCAACATCCCTTAGGATAAATTTCAAGGGCCAGAATTACTTTACTGAATATATATTTTAATAACACTTGATCATATGTAAAAGTAATATTTTAATGGTATTGTACCAATTTACTATGTAAACTCCAAAATATGACACCACAGTTTCACAGCAATCTTTGCAACACTGGGATTTATCAATTAAAAATGGTTTTGCTGGGCGCCTGGGTGGCTCAGTTGGTTAAGCGACTGCCTTCGGCTCAGGTCATGATCCTGGAGTCCCGGGATCGAGTCCCATGTCGGGCTCCTTGCTCAGCAGGGGGTCTGCTTCTCCCTCTGACCCTCCCCCCTCTCGTGTGCTCTCTCTCTCTCAAATAAATAAATAAAACCTTTAAAAAAAAAATGGTTTTGCTAATTTACTGGATAAAAATGGCAAGTAGGTTTAATATGCACTTTCTTATACTGCAGTTGGGAGAGATAACAATGCATGTCACCATCCCTCAGCTTCCTTATCTAAAAAGTAAAATCAGCAGTATTATACCTCAGAGCATATATGCCTAATTATCAGGTAAATTATCCTCCCAAAAATATATCCCTTGGGAAAGGAAAATGTTAAATGCTTCCACAGGTATGCAACCAGCCAAAATAAAAAGGAAACTCCATAAGACAAATCAAATATCCTAGATCTTCAACAAATCATCTGCAAGGCTAAAAAAAAAAAAAAAGGAAACCTACAGATTAAAAGAGTATTAAAAGAACATATCTATATGTGGACCTTGTTCGAATTCTGATTCAAACCAATGAACCATAAATAAAAAATTAAGGACAATCAGAGAAATCTGAACAAATTGGCAATAAGGAATTACTATTCAATTTTTTAGGGGCAATAATCGTGCTCTGCTTCAATTTTTAAAAAATCCTTATCTTCTGGGGCGCCTGGGTGGCTCAGTCGTTAAGCGTCTGCCTTCGGCTCAGGTCATGATCCCAGGTCCTGGGATCGAGCCCCGCATCGGGCTCCCTGCTCGGCGGGAAGCCTGCTTCTCCCTCTCCCACTCCCCCTGCTTGTGTTCCTGCTCTCGCTATCTCTCTCTCTGTTAAATAAATAAATAAAATCTTTAAAAAAAAAAAATCCTTATCTTCTAAAAATATATATTAAAACATTTATAGATAAAATAATATAGCTGTCACCTGCTTAAAATGAGTGGGGGAAGGGAGGGTACATAGACAAAAAAATGGAGCCATGACTGATAATTATTCAAGTCTTAAGTGTGGGGTACTCTCTTAATGTATTTTAAACCATAAGGTACCGTTTGAGGAAAATGCAATAGCCTGAAACAACCTCAATCAGTGCTAGTTTTAGATGCTTAAAGAGATCCCCTGACAGAACTGGTTAGAAGTATCAAAAACCTGTAAAAAGCCCAGTGATTTTATTGTTAGGTTCTATCAAAAACTTTTTTATAAAAGCTCAGGAACTCTTGAAATACAAGTAGAAAAAAATATAGTGCCCTCTGGACATACTAAAAAACCTCTCACTGCCTCAGTAATAGTATTTTGAGTAGTTTCTTCCCAAACTTGATTTCTGACCAGTGGCAAATATGATCAAAATGGCTGGCTGTTTTGAAGTCCGTACTCCCACAGACAACCGTACTCCCGGCATACAGCAAAGATAACTAGTCCGAAGTACTTACCTTCGGTAGTGCTAGCTTTTGCTAAACAAAGAGAAACAGTTGATGGGTGCACTAGTATGTTCTCCTGGCACATCATTCATCTCCCACAGAATCACATTTTAAAACTCTCACCCCTCACCTGTTCCAATATCCAGCATTATTATCAAAATTCTGAGGCACAATATTAGAAAGGTAAAAGGTTTCAGCCATGGCTTTCTGTGAAAAGAAATAAAAATAGTAATTTGCAATGAAATGCCTTCCCCTTTAAGATTTTACAAAGAGACACTGAAAGCCAGTTCCTTCTATGTCAGCTCGAGGCAATTACAGTGACTACGTGTTTAAATAAATGAAAGCCATAGCTATTCCAGGTCAGAAAGCTCAATAATGATTATTCATAAAAGGGGTATAACAAAATAAGTAGTTTGGTGTGCTAGCTTTCTTTGTACTTCCTAAAATTCAAACCAGTAATGTAGACTCTAAGAGCAAAGTTTCTAATATAAAGCTAAAGGATAAATTCTGGTGTTCAGCCTCTGACAAAGAGTTTCTCCATAAAGGTCAACTTTCAGAAATTTTATTTAAGGAATACAACACAAACATATTAGTTCAAAAGCGGCAGGGAAGAATTCCTTTTCTTCTGAATTTCTGGCCACTAGGTGTTCATTCGTTTCACACTCCTGCAAGGCTGTCGTTATTATTTCCTTCCACTGACCTGTATTAATCGCCAATGCCATCAATAACTTTCTCTTCAAGCAGGGGTTCTCAACCTTGAATGCACACTGGAATAACCCAGGAGCTTTAAAAAATATTGGTGCCTGGGTTCCACCCTCTAGAGTTTCTGATTTAACTGCTCTGGATCTGGGCATCAGGATTTTTTAAAACATCCCTAGGTGATTATAATGAGTATCTAAGGTTAAAAACAACTATCTTAATGACAATAATCACCAACAGTTGATGCAATAAATGTCATAAAAGACATTTCTCTCCTTTTTTGGCAGAGAACTTGTCCTAAAGTAAAGAAGACTAGAAAGACATGACAACTAAGTGTAATATGTGATTCATGACTGAACACTGGATCAAAAAAAGCTGTAAAGAACACAACTGGAACAATTCGGCAAATCTGAATATGAACTGTTAGAGATTACTGTATAAATATTCAAAAATACATATACACACACTTCTTGGTATGATACTCTTGTCATATATACAAATATCCTCATTCTTAGATGATACAATATCCTGAGTAATCCTGAACAACACTGAGCATGGAGCCTGCTTAAGATTCCTTCTCTCCCTCTGCCCCTCCCCGCTCTCTAAAAAAAAAAGTGTTTGCTGTACCATCTTTTCAATTTTTCTACAGGTAAAAATGTTTTTGCTGTACTCTCAACTTTTCTACAGATCTGAAATTTTTCAAAATAAATACATAGATAGATAGATAGTTCGCTCCTAAGAGCTCTCTAGTTCTCTTTTACATAGCATTTAGTTTTACTTTTTCAACCTGTTTAAGAATGTCTCACTATCTGAGCAAACAAAGGAATTAAAGTCAGGAAGGAAAATACAAAATAAGAGTATTAAAGTTCTCAGATGTTAAGGTTTGGCTCCTATACTTTTAATGCGCAAGTCCCATGGTATACAGACTACCAGCCCCGCATTCCCATCCCTCCCCAAAAATATGCCTACAGATGAAAACTTGTTATTTCCTGCTGGAGCCATGTGTCCTCTTGACCACCCACTCCCAACATAGTCTTCGTTGAAGGCACTGAAGGTTGGAGGGATGTTGGGATCAGGCTTGAATTTACAATGTTTTCTGTCGGCATCACCTGAAGAAAAACACAAAAAATGGGTAAGTTATCAGTGGACAAAGATCCCTCAAAATTCTCTAAGCAAGGCAAGCTGTTTGCTGCTGGCTAGTATCTCTCTGAGCAGTTAGTACTTAGTGATTGCATGCATGTCTCACGTTCCTGGGATAGTTCAGATACCTCATCTGAATTTAGCAAGGACTAGTCTAGGAAAGAATGCTTTTCATACAGTGTAGCTATCTCATATACTTCTGTTTCTAGCCTTTGAAATTAAAGGCAAAAAAATCCCCTGGATAGTATTTAAGTGAAAACAATGACCAATCAATAGCTGAACTATATAAAAAGCTTACCTACTAAATAAACTCTTGCTTTTTAAAAAGACCCTCATGTATCGTATTTTGTGCAACTGTATTTGACAAGTTTATACGTACTGAAATAATGGATATATATAGACACAAAACAATTTGTTCTGGGCAGCCACAGCCTTGGGGAGGGGGAGAGTGTCTCTGATATCTTGCTTGCTGCCTCTTAAGCCATGACAAAACAAACATTTAGGTTATGAGCTCAATCCAGAAATTCCTGAAACAAAATATCTGTGTACCACGTGGGAGAGAAAAAAAATCTCAATTTTATTTATATTTTCACACCTCCAAAATAGTTTGCCACAGTGTACATCAGCAAACCCCAATACTTTATTTTCCACTGTCATTAGGCCAGATCTTGTTAAATTACAAAAATAATAGTGATAAATGGAACATACTCAGACTGCTACTCAATAAAGTTTAAAATGGAGACCAATGAAGGTACCAATTCCAGTGTCATTTCATTCAGCCAGAAAAATTTTAAACGATCAGATCCCAAGACTCAGAATAAATTATCTGATACTGAGCTTTTTAGAATCACTTCATAAAGAAAAAAAATAACAGAAAAATTATTAGTAAGCTTCTCTTATGTATCATTACCACTGGAATCACCTCCTTACATGCCTGGTTATCTCTGCCTGTGGGAATTTCCGAAGGCCTGGGATAAAGACGCCTTCCTTGAGATGGATGTAAATTTGTTTCTATCAGGTTACGTGGAGGCACTGCCAGTGGAGGACTGTGTTAAACCAAGATCAGGGCTTCAGCACCCGGATCTATACAGGTTCCATGGCTTTGGCCTGTAAGTCTGCATGATAGCCAGTCTGTGGCCTCCCCTTCTCTGGAACAAGCTTTTTATTTTCCTTTTGACCCTTTTCTGCTCAGTGCCAAGACAACCTTCCATACAGTCCCCTACGGTGAGCAGGCAGGTTAGTTCTGGTTCCCCCATGCTCCCCCAGGGTGCAGCCCCCTGGGGTTCCAGGCTAATGTGGGGAGGGTCTCCTGTAAGACAATCTACCCTGGGTGAGCCCTAGGTCTCACCTTCAGTCTCCCTCACCCTACAAAGGTGCGGAATCAAAAGCAATGTGGCTTTGGTTTACCAGATCTGCCCTTACCTCTCTCGATTCTGGCTTTCCCCCAGATATTGGCTTGGCAATTCACCACTATCATGCTGACTCTTTTTTTTTTTTAAGTGGTTTTTTTTCCTACATATTTCTTATTGTTTTTAGCAGACAGTCTGCTAATAACATTTCTTGTTGTTTTTAGGAGTCAGCCTGAGTAATCTAGTCTGTCATTACTGAAAACAGAAGACTCTTAAGACTAAAATCAAGTAAATCACAAGTATACTGCTTCCTGTTTTCAAATAATATTATTTTACCTCCTCAAACTACACATTACAATGTGAAATGCAATATTTTTCTTATATGCCTCTGAAAATGGTAATCTAATAGGATAAAATTAGTAAAGCCGAAATTCCTTACATCTTGGGAAAAGTTTTGTATTTAAAGGAAATTCATTAGGCTTGAAACTAAATCAAGTGAGTTTCTCTTGATGTAAGTTTATAATCAACTCTCAACAGCTATGGTAAAGTTTCCAACTATATCAGTCTCCTTCTAGCAACAAGCAAAGTCCAAGGCTCCTGCTATTCTGCTGGTTGGTTGGACTCTAGAAAGACAAACTCAGTTAAACATCAGCATTTTAATATACATAAACAGAGCACGTAGTGTAAAACAAAGGAGAAATAATGTGTGGGCCTTACAGCAAATTAAAAGGCAAATATTAATAAAACAACTATGACAAAAGGTAATACCTTAACACATAAAGAACTCCCACAAATCAATTCAAAAAACAATATCCCAGGGGCGCCTGGGTGGCTCAGTCGTTAAGTGTCTGCCTTCGGCTCAGGTCATGATCCCAGAGTCCTGG